ACCCACCCAGTCACATGGCCAGCAAGCCACTCCCACAAAGCAGGCCATACCTACAGAAGAGGTTCTAAAAAAGTTTGAAACCTACTACTGGTATAGCTGAACCCCAAATTTCCACTGCTAAGCAAGGCAGTGAGTTTTTAATGAACTTTTTTGCCATGATTGTTAAGCAGTTTACTGTGGTTGTTAAGTGAATCTTGCAGTTGTTAAGGGAAACTGATTTTCTTCATTGACTGCTTGTCAAAAGCTCCCTAGGAAGGTTGCAAACGATAGTCCAAGAACTGCAGGACACTGCAGCCACCGTGAATATATGCCAGTTACCCAACACCAGAAGTTTCATCATGTGAGTGTGGGAATGCAGCAGCGGTCATAAGTGTGAGAACTGGTCATAAGTCACTTTCATAAGTGCCATTGTAATTTTGAAAAACCATTAAACAAATAGTTTTAAATTGAGGACTACCTTCAAACATTTTCAGTATACTTTTGACAGTTGGGGTGAACCTGGTCAGTGCCACATATGGAAAGAATATACTATTTTAGAATATGCCCTGCTAGTGACATTGGGACAGTCAGTTTTTCTTACCCTAATCTTCTTCATAAGAATTTTCTTTTGGAGAATAACAGGAGGATGAGGATAAAGCACTATGTATTATATACTGCTTGGGCAGTGATGGGATTCAAATATTTTTACTCCAGGCTCTGTGGGCATGGCTTGGTGGGCATAGCATGGCTTGGTGGGCGTGTCAAGGGAAGGATATTGCAAAATCTCCATTCTCTCCCTACTCCAGGGGAAGGTTACTGCAAAATCCCTCTTTCCTCCCGATCAGCTGGGATTTGGGAGGCAGAGAATAGATGAGAGTGGGGCCAGTCAGAGGTGGTATTTACCGGTTCTACGATCTACTCAAAACTCCCACTACCAGTTTTCTAGAACTGATCAGAACCTGTTGAATACCACTGGTGTGCTTGAGTCTCCTATATGAACCACAGGACATAAATTTAACAATAAGCAAACAAAATGGATAAGGATAAACTGGAATTTTGTGCATTCTTTTTTTTCTTGGCCCTAAAGTATCCCAGGGGCATTATTTTTCTAAAGAATCAAAAACAGGGTTATGTAGACAATTCGTTCCACCTGGAATCAAACATTGGCTTATCATAAAAGAGAGTTATAGCAGTGCAATAAAGGGTTTTTTAAAAAAATAATGAAAGAAATGCAGATCACAGAGAGATTTAATTCTCCTACACTGCTTCTGTAGCAGCGATCTCTCAGCCATTATTCCAACATATATTTTAATTAGAATTTAGGGAAACCTGCTTCAGTAGACGCACAACCTGTTAGCTTTCTCATTATTTGGATTCAGGAATATCTGCAGAGAAGTTGACAATTATCAAGCTCCTGCATATGCAACATACATAAAAAGATGTGGGGTTTAATTGCCTGGTCCGGGTGTATATACATCCTCTGCATGTATTGCTCAGGAGTAGAAAAATGAAAAATAAAATAAGGCCATCTTTTACACTTATTATTTGCACATACAGTATTTCACATTTTTGACCTTAGAGTGCTTGTTGACTAAAAAATAATTTTAGACCAGTTACTACTTATGTGTTCACTTTAGGGTTTGAAGAAACAAAATGAACACTAAATAGAGGGACTAACAATAAAAAGAACAAATGAATAAATATATGCAATTTGCATCACATGAAAAAAAATATTCAGAGGTGTAGCTTCTCTTTTAGAACGTTTAAATATGGTAATCCTAGTTTTAATATTGTAATTTTGCTTATTTTTATATTGTTTATGCTTCCCTGGAAGTCTTGCAAATTATGAAGGTAAATTATAAATGTATGGGAACAAAGTTCTCATCTACTTATTTCTTGAAAGTGTTTTTTTGTAGTAGGCTGTGATGGAGAACTTATGACACATGTGCCAGAGATGGCACTCTGCAGAGCTCTCTGTGTGGGCACGTGTGCCATCGCCAGCTGCTCTTCTGTTTCTGGCACTGGTCTTCACGGACGCTGGAGTACCAGAAAACGGCCTGAAAAATGCCCCAAAACAGGCTGGTTTTTGGACCATTTTCAGTCCATCTTCCGGGCTGTTTTAAGGCCATTTTTGGGAGGTTTTCATTTCATTTTTGGGGTTGAAAACAGCCCCAAAACAGCCTGAGAACAGCCCAAAAAATGGCCTGAAAATGGCCAAAAAAGGCATGTGCGTGCTGGCCAGCTGGTCTTTGGGTTTGTGGTACTCCGGAACACGCACACGCACATGCATTTCTGTTTGGGCACTCGATGCCGAAAAGGTTCACCATCACTGTTGTAGGTGATCTCATAGGGACACAGTGGCTCAGTGGCTAAGACTTGTTGATCAGAAAGGTCGGCAGTTCGAATCCCTCGTGCCGCGTAATGGAGTGAGCTCCCGTTACTTGTTCCAGTTTCTGCCAACCTAGCAGTTCGAAAGCACGTAAAAATGCAAGTAGAAAAATAGAGACTATTCCAATGGGAAGGCAACAGTCTTCCATGTGGCTTTGGTGTTTAGTCATGCCGGCCACATGACCACAGAGACATCTTTGGACAGCGCTGGCTCTTTGGCTTTGAAACGGAGATGAGCACTGCCCCCTAGAGTCAGGAATGACTAGCACACGTGTGAGGAGAATCTTTACCTTTACCTAGGTGACCTAGGTACTTCTCCTCTGGTTATTTTACTACGTTTTCTTTGCTATCCTACTATAAGTGCATTTTTGTACGATTCCAGTCTCTGCTAGGTATTTATTCTGCTCCATAGAACTTGGGTAGACTCTCGTCCCTTAAGCCTACTTAATTTATCTTCAGCTCTGCATGGTTTTTTTAATAGCTATTGAATCTATTGCTAGCACAAAATTACTACAACAGTAAAACCTTAATAAGGTTTTAAATGGGCACAAAGCATGTATTTGATTTTGGCAATTGCAAATCTGCCATTCAAATCTTTATATTGGAAATAAATTATGAACTGAACGAATGAACGAACCTGTGAAAGATTTAGTAGTAACAGGTAGTCCTCAACTTATAACAGTTTGTTTAGTGACCTTTCAAATTTACGGCACTGAAAAAAGTGATTTATTATGACCCCTTTCCACCATTATGACTTTTGCATCATCCCCATGATCATGTGATCAAAATTCAGATGCTTAGCAAATAGTTTATACTTACAACCGTTGCAGTCTCACAGAATCATGGGATCACCTTTTGTGACCTTCTGACAAGCAAAGTCAATGGGGAAGCCAGATTCACTTAACAACCGGCTTACTAACTTAATAACTGTAGCGATTCACTTAACAACTGTGGCAAGAAAGGTCATAAAAAGGGGCAAGACTCACTTAACAAATATTAACAACGCAAAATTTGGCCTCAGTTATGGTCCTAAGTTAAGGACCATATTTGTATTTTGTCCAAGCATCTGATTTCTTTAACAGTGAAGTACAACCCAATAGTTTCAGCCTGGGACAAATGATCTAATTGTCTATATTCCCTACTTCTGTTCCCAGCTTTTAAAACCACCAACCAGAACCTGCCAACGATATCAACAATTGATGGAAGAGACTATTCATTTGCCAAGCTATCAAGCTAAATTGAGAGAATGGAAGGTATGGTGGAATAGGGCTAAGAAAAAGGAGAATAATTTAAATCCGAATTCTAGAAGTAGGATTCCCCACAATCCAAAATTGAAAAAGATGTTGCTGAGTGGTAAAGACAATCTAATCTTCTACGTGTTGTAGGAAAGGTAAATTTGTAGAATATCCATTATCACCAACATTTTTTGCTCATGAAAAGTGATAATGTTTTCATACCATTTTAATTGTCCCAGTTTTCCCCCAAGGAATCATTAAAACTATTATGATTCACCTCCTTGATTACCCACACAGTTGTAGTCTCTGAATTTCCTTGAGAGTCTGAATATCAAGTCAGTGTGCTATTTTATGAACATGTGCTGAAAATCAAAGTCTGGAAGAGATCTTCAGAATACATTTACATACGCTCAAGAATCAGTCAGCCAGTCAGTCAATCAATAAACCATTTCCCTGTCCAACATGGTCTAAATAAATTATTGCATACCTATACAATATGCTCCAAGTCTTCACTAGCCAAAACAGATTCTCCCAGCCATCCACTTCAATATTAAGTCTAGACACTTTGGCTGTAATTAGGCTTTTTAAAAATCATGGTAGACAAAGCAAATGGTTTGTCTTTTGTGTAGTTGAAATCTTGCAACCCATTAAGCATAGTTTAACAAAATATAATTAATATTTCATTTAACATGTTATGTCCAAACAAACTATATTATGCTTAATATAATATATGTTTCCTAAAATATGGCACGATAATGTTTGGATTCCCTAAACAAATTGGGAAACAAATTATCCAAGTTCATTTTAGCCTAATTTTGCATGTTGTATAAACTATGCTTGTAAGTACTTGATTTTTGAAAAAGACAAGGCAACATCAGATATTGCTGAATTAAAGTATTTAATAGGCTGGAAACAGTAAGGAATCCTGGGACTTGTAGTTCAATAATATGTGAAGGACCCACAAATCATTTAATACTGATTAAAATGCTTTTATTTCACCTCTTATCTGGATGGTTCCATAGTGGCCTGCAAAATAAGAACAAATTAAAATCCAAAGCATATGTAATAACAAAACAAATGCAAGACATATTAACAGTGGCCAAAATATAAAACTATAGCAATACAGTGAAACTTCAGTTTATGGACTCCTGTGTAGTAGACCAAAGGATATCTTGAAATAACAGTCAAGTCTATGGCATCTGAAATACTCCAGACAAAACAGTTAAATATAACAGTACATTAATTGTAATTAATTTGCAATTATTTGGATCATTTGACCTTGAATGACAACAATTCTATCATTCATCAATTCTGAAACAAACTGATCTATTTTACATCAGCCTATAACAACATTTTTATGCAGATGTCATTTCCATTAATTTTAACACTTATTAATAACAAATGGAGTTAGTTATTTGTAAATGAGTCTCTGGGTACCAAACAACAAAACAGCATGGAATAGAAATAATAAAAATCTAAGAAAAGCAATATCTTAAAAAGTGCACATGCTAATTTGCATCATTTGTATAGTCGTGTTATAATACAGGCTGATATAGTGTGTTATTTAACAGGCATTTAGGAATGAAAAAATACATCTTCATCAACTCTTTCATTATATTTAAGTCTCCCTTTATTTGAAATAGTTGCCAATGTCATCTTAGATGGAACCATTTAAAAGAAAACATCTTTTTTTATCAGGAACTATTCGATGAGATTAGTGATTGATTTGCAAGAGAAGAGTTTTAGTTTGGCAATAAGACGATTTAATGTTAAGCTTTCTAAAGGGAGAAAAGTTTCTTTTGAGCCATCAGAAATAATCAGTACTAATTTACAAATGGCTTATCCCAGATGGGATACAGGACAGGGCTTGAGTAGGACTACTTCAGTGAGAAATTGCTTAATATAAAGTTTACTTGTTGAAAAAAACATTTCCAGATTTTAAGTGCTTCATAGCACAATTGTAATATCTCAAATAAGGATAACAGTGTGTATTTTGATTAGGCTGTATAAAAATCTACAAAACTATTAAGTGCATCAATCCTAAGACCCAGATATGATTTAGTGGTTTTTGAAATTAACCTCTGTTACTGCTACAGGGAGAGGAACCTCTGCTAGGCAGATCTAAGTTTGGGAAAACAATCATAACTTCTAAATTACTTTGACCTAAACAGTTCACGTCTGCTTAGGTTCACCCTGAAGATCTGCAATGAATGAGAATAAGACTGCAGGGTTAGTTGAGACAGAAATAATTGAGCCCAATAAATCTTGAGTATTTTAGTCAACTATTTCTGTTTTCTTCTCTTGCAGGGCTTTATGGAAAAGATGGCTAATTATACAGGGTTTAAATCTGAGCAGCTGAGCCTGAGAGGCCTCTGGAAGGTGCATGACACACTCTTCTGCCAGGTAAGATGCAGCATTACAGATAGTCCTCAACTTACAACCATTTGTTTAGCGACCATTCAAAGTTAGAACTGAAAAAAATTACAGCCGTTCTTTACACTTACAACCATTGTAACATCCCCATGGTCACATGATCAAAATTTGGGCGTTTGACAATTGACATATGCTTAGAAAGTTTGCAATGCTCTACGGTCATGTGATCACCTTTTGCAACCCTTCCAAAAAGGCTTACAATGAGCGATGTCAATGGAGGCAGTCAGATTTCCTTAACACCTGTGTGATTCACTCAACAACTGCAGTGATTCACTTAACAAATGGCAAAAGAAAAGGTTCTGAAATTGGGAGCAACTCACTGAATCAGTCCCTTAGAAGAGGGCTCTCCAAATTTGGCAACATTAAGACTTTTGGGCTTCAACTCCCAGAATTGCTCAGCGTACATAGCTGAGTATTTCACATAGAACGGCTGGCTGAGGAACTCAGGAAGTTGAAGTCCGCAACTCATAAAGTTGCCAAGTTTGGAGGCCCCTGCCTTAAAAAAGTTTGGTTCCAATTGTGATTGTAAGTTGAGAATTACCTGTGTATCATAGCAAGATCACCATTTAATTAGAAAACTTCTCCCCCCCCCCCCCGCATTTTCCACACAGAAAACCCATAACATGACTTTGCCTAGCTGGGCTACACCGCAAGTTCTGGCAACTCTCTCGGAGATAGAAGTGTTTAATATTGAAGCGCATGTGGGGATGCATGCTGCCCAGGAGAAAGCTCGATTCATTGGAGGTACAATTAAATTTTAATTATTTGCTCTGTTTGGAATCAAGACCTAGAAGTCTACAGTAATTGTCTCTAGTGTGCTCTTTTTTTTTTTTTTCAAAAGGCAACTGGGCTTTGCTTTTTTTTTTTTCCTTGAGAAAGAAGAAGAAGAAAACATTTTGTTTCTCATTCAAGAAGCTTCATCAGTTCTGATGGCTGGGAGAGGGAAGAACTGATGAAGCCTCTTGAATAAGAAGCAAAATGTTTTCTTCTACTACTTCAAGAGGGGAAAAACAGTCCAGTTCTCCACCTTTGAGATAACTATGACTTGGATGACTGAGAATCTCCATAGATACGTACAGTAGCCCTTGACTTACAACAATCCATTTAGTGACCATTCAAAGTTACATAACTGAAAAAGTGATTCATTTTTCATACTTACAACTGTTGCAGCAACCTCATGGTTGGGTGATCAGAATTCAGACACTTGGCAACTGAGTTATATTTATAATGGTTGCAATGTCCTGGGATCACAGGATCATCCTTTGTGACCTTCTGACAAGCAAAGTCAATGGGTTAACCAGACTCATTTAACAACCATGTTACTAACTTAACATTTGCAATTATTCACTTAATAACTATGGCAAGAAAGGTCGTAAAATGGGGCAAAACTCACTTAACAAATGTCTGACTTAGCAATATAAATTTTCAGCTCAGTTATGGTCGTACTTAGAAGACTAACTGTATGGTAAATTCTATAATACTAAGTTAAAAAGTAAACATAGGACAGTTTGACCGAAAATGACTGAAAGTACAAAGTATGTAGCAGCTTGGAAGTCTTTTTATTTCTTCTTTTCTTTCTTTCTTTCTTTCTTTCTCTCTTTCTTTCTTTCTTTCTTTCTTTTCCTGTCTGCCTATCTGTCTGATTTAAATTTTTATACCACCCATCTCCCCTAAAGTGACTCTTAGCCATGTAAACTTACCACATTTCCCCATTAGCAATCTGTAGAATGATGCTAGCAGCTTGCATAATTGTGTCAAATGAGAGGTTTTCTATCCTTGGTTGAATGATGCCATAGCGATGCTATTATTTACTAGCAGGGAGTAGCGTAAAATTCCTTCACACTTCAATCGCATTGGGAATTCTGCATTTCAGGGTCCAGCAACTAGACAAGTTAGCTTGATAGCGCCACCATGTGGCAGAAATTGCTGTTTCACATGCCAAAACAAAGCCAGTGCTGGAGTGAGAGCAGGACCCCTTCAACTTCCTTTCTAAGCCTTTAGTATATTTTCTGATACAACACTGTGCAGCTCCTCTCTACTTGGTACTTTTCAGTCTTGTGCTTTTCTGAATGTCAAGACACATTTCAGTATATTATCGATCAGCATATTTTCCTCTCTGCAGGGTTGCTGCTGGGTGCTATTTTGAGCAACTTTTCCAAAATGGTGTGCCAGGACCTGCCTCTTAAGATGATAATGTATTCTGCTGTAAGTTCTCCTATTCCTTAAAATTGCAAAGATCCACTTTGGAAAATGGGACAGTCCAGAGAATTTAGAGCCATCTTTCCCTCTCTGCAGCTATCATTATCTGCAGCACAGTATTGGTTTTTGGGCAGAATTTGATTGTTTTTCTATAATCTTGAGAAACCTAGCTGCTGCCTTGCAGGGGTGCTATTATGGCAAAATTTCAGGGCTTACCAGAAAAAGATGGAGCCTCACCTCCCGCCTGCCCCAGCTGAGTAAACATCTTATTTCAAAATAAGCAAAGGAATTCAAACAACGATAGATCAAATCCAGTCTTGCTTCCTGATATAGGTGATTGAATATTTACCCATTCCTTGGTTTATTTCAAATCTATCTGCCTACCTACGTCACCCTGGTGATTTGGGGCAGTGCCCTGTTTCCCTGAAAATAAGACCTCCTCAGATAATAAGCAGTCGGGATTTTGAGCGCATGCGCTAAAATAAGCCCTGCCTGAAAATATTGCAGCACAGCAGTAGCAAGGGTGGATTCTGGCTTCTGTTACTGCTGGTTCACTCAGGGACGCACTTCGTTCACACACACACTTGATGTGTGCTATGTGCGCATGCACATAGCATGCTCAGAAGCAAAAAAACATTGGCGCCGCCAATAGAACCAGTTCAGAGGTGTGGCCGGCCGAGTTACTACCTACTCAGCCGAACCGGTAGGAACTCACCTCTGAGCAGCAACCATGAGGTGATCATGCTCGCCGCCTCCTGCACCTCAAAAATAATAAGACCTCCTCGAAAATAAGGCAAAGCGCTTATTTCGGGGGTCAAAAGAAAATAAGACCCTATCTTATTTTCGGGGAAACACGGTAACATAAACAAGCAAAAAGAGGAAAATAGCTATAATTTGCAATGAAAGAAACAAAACTGAATAAAAAGAAGTTACTATTTAAACGTGACCCGACAAATGCGCGAATGACAAAAGCGCGCCGACAAAACCGCGGCGCTAAAACCGCGATGTCAAAAGCGCGCCGACAACAGTGCGCCGACAGAAGCGCGATTTAAGTTAAGGTAAGGTTTAGGGTTAGGGTTACAGCGTGCTTCTGTCGGCGCGCTGTTGTCGGCGCGCTTCAGCACTAATTCGTCGGCGCGGTTTTGTCACCGCAGTTTAGTCAGGCGCGCTTTTGTCATTCGCGCATTTGTGGTGGAACCCTATTTAAAAACAAAACTTTATCTGGACTTAAAATACCTTTCTTCACTTTAAAAACACCTTTCCTTCCATGGGACCCTGGCACTTTTACTCCAATATCCTGCCCTGGTGGTACAGAGAGTGCAATTTGATATGCCAAGTTTTATCAAAGAATAAAGATAAGGGTAGGAAGGAAGTCATGGACGTGAGAAGCATGGGAAGAAGGAATATTTTGGTCTATTCCAATATGTTAATGGCATAGTAATTGTTTCTGCTTGTTTTCTTTAGCACGACAGCACCCTGATTGCTCTGCAGGCAGCCCTCGGGGTTTACAGTGGCCGCCCACCACCCTATGCAGCTTGTCATGGATTTGAATTCTACCAAGAAAGTAACAAGTAAGTTTAACAAAAGAAGGGTGGGCAGGTCTCGCTTTTGCAAGTGCCAAGATGCAGACATGGTTCATTGCTCTCCGCCATGTTCAGGACAATAAGCTTAAAAGGCTGAGCACATACAAAGCCTTGTAAATACTGAACCATAGGATCTAAGGTTGGGCAGATCACCTGGTGTTAATTTGACAAACCAGAAGCATACCTTCAGCTTGCAAAGATGTCCAGACAGGGCATTTAAAGGAGCTTAACTGGTCAGTATCCTACAAACGAAAAAGATGGTTTAACTTTTGCCTTTACATAATTATATGGTTCACTGAAGTATGTTAAAATGGAAATTTTTGCACAACCTGAACTCGAGAAGATATTAAGATTCTAGACAAAGCTCATTTCCATTTTGTCATTTCATTTTGCTCTTTCCTTTCTTACAGTATCTTTCCCGAGCCAGACTTTGCATCACTTTCAAAACCATTTCCTTGCAGCAGAGCTGGCTGCCTTCAAACAACCTGTCAGCAAATTTAGTTGCTGATGCATTAGTCAGACTGTAGCATCACGATAGAGAGGCTGAGGTGGCAGAACCTGAATCTTTTCAAGGATTGTGCAGCAGCAAATAAATATATCTTTTGGCAGATACGCAAGGAGGTAAAGCAGGTTCCAGAGCGATGTTAAAACTTTTAAAATTTTCACATTTCAGCTCTTTCAGCGTTGCCATGTTCTACCGCAACAGGAGTGACCAGAGGGCCCATATCCTACCTCTGCCTGGCTGCCCCACACCTTGCCCATTGCCACTGTTCATCCATCTCACCCGTACAGCTGTCCCAGAGGACTGGGATACCGAATGCCAAAACCCTCAGAGCGGTCCAGGTAATGAGGTCATCTTCCCCCTCCCCCCTTAGCACAGAGCTAGTTAATCGAAACTTTTAAGCCTGATCAGATATTCTATTTGCAGGGCGTGCGGTGATCGCCCTGGCTGCAGCAGTAGGTGTGCTGAGTGTGGCACTGCTTGGCATGGGTGCCTTGTATTGGAGGAGGTGATAATGAAGATAAGCTGAATTGGCAACCATCCAAACCCCATGGAGCAAGAAGCAAACTGCCTTTTTGTATTTTTTTTTAAAAATGTGGTGCAATGCAGCCATCTCAGCTAGCATTCTAATTGGGAGAATGTGACAAAAGAGGGGAGCTGACAAAGACTTTGTGCCAGGCAGTTCCTCACCAACTACTTGGAGGTCAATGCCAGCAGGAAATTCAGCACAGGATGTTACTAGGAAAAGGAATGCAAAGCGCTTAGCTGAAATGCCAGTGTTAAATCTATGGCACAACCGTGTTAGATTTTAGCTCATAAACTACATGTCCTGCACTCAAAATTCCTAGATGCTTCCTCCTTTTAGGTTTGTGTGTCCAACTCAATTAAGGTTCACCGAAATACACTGCATCAGCTTGATATTGTCCCCACTTATTTCTCCCTGTCACACCCAATATTCCATAAGCTCTGCACTAAACACAGGGATGGCTTCATTATGTCATTCCTGTTCCCACTCAACGCTGCACTCAGTAGTTTGAGAAGGTTGCTTTGGCCAAAAGACCCTGCATTTTCATGCCTTTAATAATTTCTCACCACCCAGCAGGAAAACTGGATTTTACTTTACACAACATGCATACAACAATAGAAGGAAAATTTTATTTAGTAGTTTTGGGGTTAAAACTCCCTATTTCAGTACTGAATTACCAGATTCACAGAACATACTGTATAGGACACGACTGTTAAGCTAATGTGCAAAACCTAGTTAACTGTTGCACTATACCCAATGCTGCAAAGATAAGTCGGTTTCACCCACCTATTCAAGGAACAAGTTTCCTATCAATAAAGGAGGCATCCTGGGGGGAAGGGAACCCCAAACCCATTTCAAAGATCATGTTCTTGGGGTCCACCTGACATAAGGCAAGTTTAGAAAGCAAAGGGAAACAGAGCAGTTCAATGGCAGGACTACCCACTAGTGCAGTTGAAGTTGCCAAGTTTGGGAACCACTGCACTAGTAGTATAGCATAGCTAATTTTGACATCAATGAACCAAAGGCAGCTGCTACTTTCCCATTACTGAAGGACATCATTATGGATACCTCATTCATACATTTAGTCTTTCAATAGGAATAACCACCTCTTTTATTTAAGGTCAATAAGCTTGTTTGCAGACAAGCTGCATGAAAAATGTACTTTAGTTATTTCATTTGTGACTAATGCTTGCAGGTGCCATGAACTCCCAAGAGATGGCTATATTGTCTCGCCTGGGATCTCTAAGGGAACACAAATCCATGAATACAGGGAACGGGAAAGATTGCAAACAACCAATTGTATGGAAAGGCAGTGCCCTTGAAAAGAACATTGCTTGGAAATTTTCTGATTGGGCAGCTGTAATACATTTAATGGGCCAAGATCACCTTCCAAAAATGTAACTGCTACATTTTGCTGCAAATCGAAGATTCTCCCCGCTCTGCAGAGTAATTTTTGCTGTTCCTTTCCCAGCCACTGAATTTGGCTGCTTGACCCAGTTCTAAGTAGCATCTACAGCAGAGGTTCACCACCCATTGCATCATATGGTATTTTAAGTAAGCCGCACAGCTCTTCCCCTTTTTCTGGTACTAAGAGCAGGGGTAAGAATCAGAAAAGAACACTTGGAAGAAAGGAGTTCGAACGTACCCCTTTTAAGAAGGCATGCTTTACAGCAGCATTACCAGCTAGTGTTTATTCAGATGGGTGTGCGTATAAGGTTGCTGCTGGAGTCCAAAGTTATCACAAGTATTTTGCAGTTTAGTAGTATTACCCTTTGCAGCTTTAACAAACATAGCAAAGTTATTCACCAATTAATGAAATATTTATTGTGTAAGAGAGTAAAGTAAATAAACCCCCCACTGCTTTCTAATCGGGATCTGATAAGCCTCTCACTTCTGCATGAAAAACAGAATAAGGGGCATAATGCATAAACAATGCCAAATCCCTCCCATTCCAAACACTGGATCGAGGAAAGTTTATGAGTTGCATTTCTTCTTGGGGGGGAAGAAGTTCCTCCACGTAGGCTTCTTCGATGCGCTTGTTAAAATGTGGACAGGCATTTTGGTCCGGTCTGAATGAAACAAGTAACACAAAATACATTAGCATCAAACACTTAAGTTTGGACAGCCACCCCCAATCAAGCATCATGAGATTAGTTGGATTTCAACCGCCATACATTCGATAGGCACCAAACTGGGATAGACCCGTGAAGATTACTAATCACCTTCACAGTACATAATTACTTACCAACAGCCTTTCAAGGATCCTAGTAGGCTAAACTGTATACACTCCAGAAGAGCCTGGCTCACATTAAGCCTGCCATTTCACTTTTCACTTACACCTATAAAAAAAAAAAAGATGGCCAAGTTAGAATCCTACTGAGGCTTTCTCTGTAGTGGTTCCCTCCCTGTGGAACATCATCCTTTCAGAGATAAGATTGGCCCCCCACTTTGGCACTCTTTTCCAAGGCCCTGAAGACACAGTTCTGCCAATGAGATTGGGAACCCCAGAGTGACATGGAGCCCATCAAGTGGCTGGTCTAATTATTGTCATGGGGTGGGGTGGGGTGGGGGTGTTGTATTACTTTTGTATTGGGATTTTATCCTTGTAACCCCACCGAGTTGGGTGGCTGTATAAAATTTCTTAATAAAATCTTTAAAATGTGCTTTGCTTAAATTCTATTCTTGAACAATACCATGTTACAATAGTAATAGTAATTGATGTTTTTTGCCCATTAAACAAAATGAATGGTTACAGTACTCAGCACCTAAAGCTTTACGTAAGTGATTACAGGTAGTCCTCGGTGTACGATCACAACTGAGAAAAACCTCAATTGCTAAGCAAGACAATTGTTAAGTAAGTTTTGCTTTCTTGCTGCAGTTAAGTGAATCACTGCAGCGGCTAAATCGGTTACATAGTTGTTAGTGAACCTGGCCTCCCCCCCCTTTGATTGTCAGGTCCTCTCAAAAGGAGATCACGGCAACAGTCATGAGTCAGTTGCCAAGCATCCAAAATTTAAGCACGTGCCCAACGGGGATGCTATAAGAGTTGTGTTGTAAGTCACTTTTTTAATGCTGTTGTAATATTGAAGTCACTAAACAAAAGGTTGTAAGTTGGTGACCAACTATATAAAAGCATCCTAATCTATGGGAAGGGAAAAGAGGGAGAAGGGAAACGGAACATGGGGGGAAAAATATTTGAAGATTATTCTAACCTGGAGTCCTTCCCTTCTGCAATTAATATTATATCCTCACCTTCCATTATGAGATCCTCAGTCTCTCAAGACATTTGGAGAAGGCATGCTAGGAAAAGAAGGAACCAACAGGCCAGGCAATTTCAGAAGGCAAAGTGCAGATCATCTTCCTCTCTGTTCTCTCTCTCTCCCCTTTATTCCAAGCCAGGAGAAGTACGCAGGCAGAGAATTAAGTCTGAGGCAGGCTGCATTTTGAAAAGGAGGCCTCTGTCTATTTGGTGTCCAGAAACTACAATAACAAAGCATATACACTTAAAAATGAAGCATATACCACAGGGGGGAAAAAGTGTGTGTGTGTATTTTTCCCAGAACTAAGAAGAAGTGGGATCATATCTGCAGTTCTTTCCCCACCTTTTGAATCCCTCACTTCAGTTCTGAGATAATCTGCAGGTGAAAATGAACAGTCACGGGATAATGCACACTGAAAAGAATGTTTCAGCCTTCTACTACCAATCGCGTAGAACACAAGAGAGACTCTTTGAGAAATTTATTAGGCTCAGTATCTTTCAGGAAAAATGACACAAAGTAACTGAAACTGCCCAAACTTCTTCCCTCCTAGAGCATGTAGATAAAAAGGAAACTATCTGAAAGAATTTACTCTTTGCCTTGCAAATACCAAGTCTTTCCACTCAGTTACAACTGGCTTTCTTTCTCTTTCTTTCCAAATGCAGATTTAATTGCAACTGGAAGTTGTTCCTTTAGCTGCAGTGGGGGAATTATTCAGATTCTATTATCATTTAACTCAATAGGAATCTGTAGAGCAATTGGGTAGGAAATGAGATGGGGAAGTGGAATGGCGTGGAGTGAATAGTTTTTAGGCAGAATTTGGAAAGTCCAAGATATTGTTGGAAAAAGAGTGGTTATTTTTCCTGCTTGTAAACTGAAATGAGCTAACAGGAAAAGGCACATGCACAGGCAAACAGACTTGAGGACAGAAATAAGTAGGCATTTGTGATACACATATTCCCTGGTTTACAGACAACCAAAATCCACCCACAAGACACTTAGCTAAAACATACAAACAATTAAAAAACCTTTACTTTTAAATGAGTTTAGAATATTCCCGCCTGATAGACTTGGACTGTCCTTAAAAGGGCAGGGAAAGAATAGGAAACACAATTCTCCTCACCCCTTTTGCTTATTTTTTAAAACATTTTCCTAACAAGGTTTAAAATTTGTTTTCTTTAGGGTTTATAGCCATTTAACAACTGTGCTGATCTCGAGGGCACATGAAGACTTCGATACACAAAGGAAAGATAAAATAATCAGAGTTTACACACCCCGGTGATTCTCACTGTAAATCTTAAAATTAGGAAAGGCAAAAATCTCAACAAACATTAATTGACCAGTGATTGCATAGAACAGGAGAAAGATCAATGTTACTGCTTTCTCTTTATTTTTAAGTATCTTTATTTAGCCAAATTGGTTTTCCCGCTTCATCTCTGAACAAAGTCCATTTCCTACATAACTGGTGCATGTGCTTCCCGCCTGGGCAGGCAACTTCCTCAGATCAAAAACTCCCATTAGTCCCTCTAGTGGAGATACAGCAACATATTTCTGGGATGGCTGACTACAGAATGGCACATCAGCAAAGTTTATATACAAATTTTTAGCCTTTGGTGTGAGTGAAATGCTTTTATGACCAGTGGGGAATATAGTTTTTATGATTAGAGGAAATATTCTGTTATCTTCTTTATTAGCAAAGATCTTCCTGGCTAGGCAGAGGTGTTAAGAAAATGGGCACAAGTATTAAACCTGCCATGCTTTTAAAATGTTGATTCTAGGGCTGCCTTTCAGCATTTTATTTCCTTAAGAAAAAATTGTATTTTATTAGTAGGGATGGGTTTCTGTGACTTCAGATCAGAAAGCTGTTAAAAGGAGGGAAGATCAGAGACTTTTAAACTTCTATCAGTTCTTTTTGTGCAATAATAGCGTAACACAAATCCAAGCCTTGCTGGTCCTACCTACCTTCAACCATTCCACATGTAGAATAGCCTCCTGTCTTCCATTTGCAGAAACATCTGTGTTGTTTGCTAGAAATTTCCTGTTTCCAGGATCTGGTACAATCACATCTGCAAAATCTAAAGGAGACACAGATATTTTTTGGGGGGAGGGGGGCATAAGTAGGTTACTTTCATAAAGATATAAGGCAAAAAAACCCCACCCCTTTCTACCATGCTCACCTGATTGCACCTACCATTCAAGATTTTTATTTGTATCCCACTTTTATTTTAAAACAACCCATCAATAGCAATATTCCAATTTTCCACACAACCTCGTGCAGTGGAATTGGGGTAAGAGTGACTGGCCCAAACTCACCCAGATGGTTTTCATGGCTAAGACAAGAATTCAAGTCGCTTTTTGGTGCCTTAACCTGTAGACCAAACTGGCTTTCTTGATACTCTCAATTAATTTTG